TATGTAGCTACTAAGGAGAAGAATATCATTGACCTTTGAGTATATGATAATTTTTATATTTTGGAAGGTACCGAAACCACGATGATGTGTGCCCCTTCTTGGTTTCTAAATCAAATAATAACTGTTAGTTTTCCACTTGAATTTAAATATCTAAGAATTTTGTATTTGTTGACAGACTGTAATGGAACATGGGGGGAGTGTTGCTGACTTGATGAATGTTATTGAGGAGCCTCTAGAGCAGTATCTAATAACATATATTTGCAGAGAGGCGTTGAAGGTACCATCATTTTAGTTAGTCAAATTTCAAAATCAAACCTTTTATATCTTTACTATAGATTTGTATAACATGTCCTTCAAAAATGCTGGAATTGTTATTGGGTAATAGAGAGTGATTTTGTCCATGAGATAATGCTTCACCATCCAATGTTAAAATATATCGTGACTTGACACGAATGTTTTATTTTAGAGTTTGTGTATTACTACCTACTTTTCCATACTAATCATCTTTTACTAAAGTGCAAAAGGTTGGGATACTTGTTCCCATGATGTATAAAATAAGCTAAATTAGTGGGTAATTTGAGAAGGACTTATTCAACGATATTGTCATTATGTTGGGACATTCCGAAATTGACAATATGGACATCTCTGAAATATTTCCTGCTGGCTGCTTCTTTTATTTTGATGAAACTATATATATTATCTAATGCAGGGTTTATCATACTTGCACTAAATTTTCAAGGTATATAGAGATATTATTTCTCATGTAAAGATAATATATTTCTTGATATGCTTTTGATTTGCATGCTAATTATATCCTTATTATTTTTGTGATATGCAGGGAATTAGATTATATTTGGGATAACTAAATTGTTAGTCACAAAAGCAAACTTTGATATTGATAGAATATTTTGTAATATTTTAATTAATTTTTTTAAAATAGTAGTCTATATTTTTCACATATTGCTATATAACTTTTTCAGCAGGTTAATTATGTTAGCATTATTCAGATTAACTCTACATTTCTGTATATTCTATCGAATTATATTCACTATTTTTGTTTATCAGAACTATGTAAAATTTGATTACACATAATTAATGTGTACTATTTTGTTTTGTAATTATTATAGGTTGGTTGGTAATCAAATAAATAAATATTTTTAAAAAACTAAATTAATTATGCTATTTTTTAAAAAAAAATGTAAAATGACTTACGGTAACGGTAAAAAAATGTTGCAAAAAAGAAGAATATAAGCATAGACAACACTCAAAAAAGGTTACAAAAAGGTTATTGATAACACTCAAAAACGTTGCAAAACGGTTATGACAACACTCAAAAAACATTGCAAAAATGTTATTAGCAACGTTCAAAAAATGTTGTAAAAAGTTATGGCAACACTCAAAAAATGTTGTAGAAAGGTTATTAGTAACGTTCAAAAAAATGTTGTAAAAAAGTTATTGGCAACATTTAAAAAACGTAGTCGTATCATTCTACTCTACGACAACATCGAGGTTTGTAACATACGTCCGAACGTTGCAAAATGTCATCGACAACATTTTTTGAACGTTGTAAAAGACTGTTTTTATTGTAGTGTCCCCATACTTGCAGAACCCCCAAATTAAAAACACGTAGGGCCAAAAGTAAAACCTCCAATTTTGTTTTTATCTGCAATAATATTTTCCTAGAAATGACTATTAAATTGAGGGCTAAATATATTTACACCACAATTTTGAATAACTAAACTTTATTTAATTACATGAAAGGTTCATAATCTTTACATGTTATCGCATTTGGGTTTCAAACTTTTTTCATTGTATTCTTATTACTCAAATTAATACATTTTGTTTCAGATTATGCTATCTCCAAAATTTTTTTTAGATAAAGTAAAAGGATTCATTTAGCCATTGTATTTTTTAATAAGCAAAACAAATAATACTGCAAAAATGAGATTAAATATTTAACCCTCATTTTAAAGCATGTAACGATATTTTTGGACAAAAACTATGATTAAGGACATAATTATCTTATTGATGAAAAGTTAAAAGTAAAAAGTGTGATGAAGAAAAAAGTTAAGGATATAAGTGTGATAATAAATAAAGGTTAATGATTTTTAATATAATTAAAATGTGATGTATTTATAAAATCATGGGGTGTAAATTGACCCTACTAGAAAACCACAGAAGTCTCATGATTTTGAATGACATTGGTGACCCACAAGCCCCAAAATATGCAA